GATTCCTGATTTAGGTCAAAAACTACTAGAACTTTCACTACGGAGATTTTACTAACGAGACCGAAAAAGTAGTACACGCAGCCACCTACCTCCGAGGAAAGGCCCTCAAGTGGTTTAAACCAATCCAGGAAGAGTACCTAAAATACAAAACCCTCGACGAGTACACTACCGAGACCCGCGACATCTACGCCAATTTTAAAGGATTCGAGGACGCGCTCAGGTCACTCTTCCAAGACCCCGACGAAAAGCGACAAGCCGAACGAGATCTAGCATAACTTAAGCAGACTAAGTCCGCCAAAGACTACTCCGCCAATTTCCGACAACTTAGCGTTCAACTCGACCTCACCGAGGAAACCAAGATCTTTATGTTCTATCAAGGACTAAAAGACAAAGTCAAGGACGAGATCATCAAGATTGATCGACCTGACGACTTTCTCCAGTACGCCGAACTCGCTATCAAAATCGACAACCGGCTTTTCGAACGACGAAGGGAAAGAGGCGAAAAACGACAAAACCCCAACTCAGGACGCAAGTACTAGTGGCAGCCTCAGCACCAGTTCAACAACCAGCGAAACGACAATAGACCCCGCAACAACTAGAACAACCCCCGACAAAGTACTGCCTATAGTCACCATAGTAGACCAATAGACCTTAGTGCTACACAGAGAAACGACAAAAAGAACGACAGTTAGAAGAAAGATAGACAGTGCTATAACTGCCAGAAGATTAGACACCTAGCATACGAATGCAGGTCACCCAAGAAGGAACGCTTCCAACCGGTACCAGAGAAACGACAAGCAAGTATCGCCACGAAGACGATCCCTCATAAACAACTCAACTGGACCACCTGCTTCGATGACAACTGCCATATCCACTCTAGCAGTAAGGAACACGCAGGATAGTACCCCCAGAAACCTCAAGAACGATCTGGTTACGACACCACCAACGCACCTAAACGGACCCTCGCTGTAGGATATAGAAGCAACAGCAAAATCGAGCGCAAGACAATCGAACAGCTCGACAGTATAAACGACAACGAGGAATTAGAACAAGACAATCAGCGAAGGCTGAACCTCCTCTACGCAGGACGACAAGCCAACCTGCAGCGGATTCAACAGGACTTACAAAACCCTATGTGGCAACGACAACTCGGTGCGCTGGACGCACACATCGAACGACGACAACATGCACAAGGAGATCCCGCACGGATCCGCCAGATCAACCAAGAACTAGAAGAACAGGTCGAATCAGAAACGACCAAGAACACCCCCAACGACTCGGAAACACCTCGCGATGTTGCCCGTCAACATGCCCAACTGGAAGTCGCCTTTGAAGTCGCTTCAGTCGACGACACCAGCTCTGGAGAGGACTCTGACGAAGAAATACAGTGGTATCACTGCTACCAAGACCAGTGCCGAGTCTACTATATCAAGAAAGACGAAGCATAGAAGAAATAGCAAGAAAACGACGAACAAGGAACGGACGAGCAGTCAAAAAACTAGACTCGCCTACCGAAGACAAGGGACAACGACAGGCAGTCCAGACAAGGTCCCTATGTAGCGCAACGACGCCCACGACACAACGACACGAGCATGTACAAGTCCAAATACAGCTCAACGGAAGAACAGCTACCGCCATGATCGACAGCGGAGCCCAAGGAAACTTCATATCACCAAGAACGGTAAATGAAAGAAAGATAACCTGGAAAAGAAAAGCAGCCGAAGACTGCTACGAACTCAGCACCGTTAAAGGAGAACAAGTCCAGTACGGCGGAGGACGCATTGTTATGGAGACAGCGCAACTCCCAATACAGATCCATGGCCAGAATGAGCGACTCAACTTCGATATTACGGAGATAGGAGACAAGTACGATGTCATCCTTGGAAGACCATGGTTATACGACAGTAACCCACGGATAGATTAGAGAACAGGCCAACTCCATTAGGACCAGGATTCAGTCACTGAGAAGCAACCACGGAACGGTGCCTCAAACGAACCTCTCAAGACTCCTGAAGCGAAGAGATTTCTAGCATACCTACGGATCAAGGATGCAAACGCCAGGACGTTATCAGCAACAGACATCGGCAAGGAAGACCGACTTCTGTCTATCCTAGAAGAATACCGGTAATACTAGAAGCTATTCGCCGAAGAACTCGAGACCGGACTCCCGGAACATAGCAACTACGACCACGAGATACCCCTTAAGGAAGGGAAGGAGCCAAAGCTAGAAGCAATCTACGGACTCAACCAGAAAGAAATGGAAGCACTCGACGCTTACCTCGAAGAAAATCTACAGAAGGGATACATCAGACCCTCCACATCACCAGCAGGATACCCAATCCTGTTCGTACCAAAAAAGAACGGCAAACTACGACTCTGCGTCGACTACCGGAAACTCAACGACATTACGATCAAGAACTGCTACCTACTACCGCTCATCTCCGAACTACGAGATCTACTGCACGGAGCCCAGTGGTTTACAGCACTCGACCTAAAAGGAGCCTATAACCTGATCCGGATGAAATCAGGTGAAGAATGGAAGACAGCGTTTCGAACACGCCGAGGACATTACGAGTACCTTGTAATGCCCTTCGGACTCACCAACGCACCCGCGACATTCCAGACGATAATCAACCACGTCTTACGAGAATTTCTAGATGTGTTCGTCGTAGTTTACCTCGACGACATCCTAATCTTCTCCAAGACTCTGAAAGACCACAAAAAACATGTACACTAAGTACTACGGAAACTGCAAGACGCCAAACTCCTAGTGGAACCCGAGAAGAGCAAGTTTCACGCCAAAGAAGTCGAATTCCTAGGTTTTACGATAGCCCCAGGAATCCTCAAAATGTCCAAAGACAAAATCGCAGCAGTACGAGACTAGCCTACACCACAGAACGTTAAGGACGTACAATCCTTCATTGGATTTGTGAACTACTACCGACGATTTCTAGAAGGATACTCAGACAGAAACGACCCCCTCACGAGACTTTCGAGGAAAGACATCCCCTGGCAATGGGAAGAAGAACAGAAAAAAGCCTTCGACGAGATCAAACAACAAGTCACATCGGAACCAATACTCGTCATACCAAACCCCGAGAAACCATTCGAAGTCGAGACCGACTCCTCAGACTATGCCATAGGAGGACAACTAGGTCAACGAGACGAAGAAGGACAGCTACGACCTTGTGCCTTCTTCTCACGCAAACTACACGGCCCAGAACTCAACTACCAGATACACGACAAGGAACTCATGGCAATTATCGAAGCATTCAAAGAATGGAGACCGCAACTCTCAGGAACCAAGTACGAGGTCAAAGTATACACCGACCACAAGAATCTCGCACACTTCACCACATCGAAAGATCTCAACAAACGACAAATTCGATGGTCCGAATTCTTGTCAGAATTCAATTTCAGAATCATCTACCGGAAGGGCAAGGAGAACGGCAGGGCCGACGCCCTCAGCCGACGACCGGACCACGAGGTCCAGGTACCTAAGGAAACCCGAGTTATCCTCAAAACAGACAAAAACGGAGACCTTGTGCCAGCAGCCAGACTCTTAATGATGGCCAGAAGAGACAGTACCAGCACGCCTGGAAGGATGTCTCCTGAAGCCATTAGGGAGATACACTCCGCACCCGCACATGGTCACCAAGGCGTAACCAAAACGTAGAAACGCATCCGTCAACACTACGACAAAACGGCTACACGACAAGAAGTATCTTTAGCGATTAAGGACTATGAGGTTTGCGCAAAAAGCAAACCCAGCCGACATCAGCCTTATGGAAAGATACAGCCGCTCCCAGTGCCGCAAACCGCATAGGAATCCATCTCGCTGGACTTCGTCACTAAGTTACCTAAGTCCCGAGAACCGATAACCAACGTCCACTACGACAGTATCCTCGTCATCGTCGACAGACTCACAAAGTACTCATACTTCATTCCGTACATGGAGTCAAGCACTGCAGAAGACCTCGCCTATAAGTTTCTGCAGGTGATCGTAAGCCAACACGGAATGCCGAAGGAAATCGTATCCGACAGAGACAAGCTGTTCACTTCCAAGTTTTGGAGATCCCTGATCTCGCAGCTAGGATCTGACCACAAGATGTCCACCGCTTTCCATCCGCAAACCGATGGCCAGACAGAACGAATCAATCAGATCATGGAAACCTACCTACGCTGCTACGTCAACTATCAGCAAAACAACTAGGTCTAACTGCTACCTATGGCCTAGTTTGCTTACAATAGCGCAGTAGGAGAAAGTATAAAAGAATCACTATTCTACTTGAACTACGGATTCAACCCGACAGCCTATGGACAACCCCGACAAGGCCCAACAGCTCTGAAAGCTGTGGCAGATATCAACAAACTCAAGGAAATCCAACGAGATCTTCCCAGAGACCTTGAATTTGTGCGCGAACGCATGCGCAAATACGCTGACAAGACAAGAGTTGAGGGACCAACTCTGAAGGAGGGGGATAGCGCATACCTTCTCCGCCGGAACATCAAAACAAAACGACCAAGCGATAAGTTGGACTTCAAGAAACTTGGACCCTTCGAAATCACGAAGAAGGTATCTAACGTCAACTTCAAACTCGCACTACTAGACACTATGAAGTGTCATCCAGTTTTTCATATTTCACTTCTCGAGCCAGCACCAAAAGGATCACGAACTATGGACCACATCGAAGTCGACTCGGAACAGGACTACGAGGTCGAAAGGATCCTCGATCACATCGATCAGCACGATGACACAGAAATACAATACCTAATCAAGTGGAAAAACTACGGACACGAAGAAAACACATGGGAACCTGCATCAAACTTGGAGCACGCACAAGAGGAACTTTAAGAATACTGGACGCAATGGGAAACACGACAGCACGCCAAAGTCATGCAAAGACCAACACACAACCCTCGCGTCAGAAACCCTCAACCCAAGTTTCGACCAACCAAGAAACCCCAGGGCAACAAAACGTTTCTTCGCCTAGGAACACCTAGCCCTGAGTAGCCGAGGAACCTCCAACACTCCCCGCACCCGCGCCATCCACCAGAGGACCTAAACCCACAAACTCGTCACCAAAACCAAAAAGGGACCAAGGAGGATCATTCCCGAGACCCACTGCCTGGAGGTCACTAACGACGAACCTCTCGTAAGCATCCAAGGCAGGTAGGACTTCGTCGTCCGCCAGGACGCCATCCTCCCTGTCAACCTCCTGCATACCACGCTTAAAAACTTCGGTCTGCCGCTCCCGAACCATCTTACGGACCGTCCGAATCCGTTTCAGACGACCCGCAGCATCCGCCATTTGAACTTGCAAACGAGCAAACTCTTGATAAAGCGCGAATAGCTCCTCACCCGCTTTCTCTTCTTTCTCATCCCACTCCTTTTGCTGAGAGTTCAACTTCTGAACTAGAAGCAAACATTAGCAACCCCCAGAACAGCGAAAACACAAAAACACGACTTACGAGTAGACGCCACGAGGACGCCGTCACAAGGTTTCTTCGCCTCGATGCAAGTCCTACAGCGTGTAGACTTCTCGCCAAAACGACACGGGACCTTTGCACGGAAACAACGAGTGTAAGGCATGTCGCTAGCAATCGATCGGGACTCCACGTATTCAATAAGCGCAGCTCTCTCACGATCTTTTATCACAGTCAAGTGCGACTTTGTCTTTCGAACGCGACCTGACATAGTGTCAGCATCATGAAAAACAAAGGAAGCAAATTTGTGGATCCCCAACCTGGGACCAACGACCTACTTATACTCAGGTCTCGAGGACAAGACCTTTAAGAGGGGAGCTGATGTTACGACCCGACAGTTAACAGACCACTGACGACGACCCCGCAGGGGCTCAGCGGTTATAGGGACGGCCGTCAGCCGTTACGTCGTAACAACCCCCACGGAACGGAAGAACTAGGATACAGGTCACGTGACGATAAGCAGGACCGACGGACGATAAGCGGTCCTGGGACAGGACCGACGGTGCCAAGGGCGGTCCATGGCGATGGACCGACGTCCTGGGTGTCGGTCCCCCAGGATCAGGAAGTGTTCAGCATGGAACCAGACTTGTATATAGTTGGGACTCGAGTCCTCTCGAGTCCTACCTTTCCTAGTTCTTTAGCAATCAACTTCGTGATTACCCTAACCGGTACTTTCAGCTATACCTAAGTGACGACTACTCTACGACTCTTGTTGAGGCCTTGACTGATCACCAAGACCTTTGAAGATCTACGATCTATTCGACCAGGACCACGGAACGACTGTTACTACTCTCAATCCCTGGCTTACTGTTAACACAAACCCACTGTCAGTTAGCTGGCCGTAACAGTTGTCTATATCTATAGGTATTTCTAGGTTTGGGTATTAGTTTAACTAAAGGTCAAAAGTTTATTCGCAGACCCACCTTACCCCTCCTTTTCTAAACCACTTCCTCTTCAATAGTGCGTAACTTGATAACTTTTCTTCAGGAGCAGTCGCCTATGTTCTTCCCTAGAGCTTACGTACTAAGGCACATAAGGTTCTGTTCATGAGTCGCGATAACTTTCTTAGCTCTTAGTCTATTTTTCCTAGGTGTCTGAACCATTATAAAACAAGAAACTGTTTCCAGCTTACGACGAGCTGTGCTACATCATTTTTCATCTAAGATTCTGTATACAATACATACCAACTTGGCCGTATGTTTTATTCTGCAATCACTACAAGACGGACCGCTAATTGTGCTAGAACATGATTGTACTCAAAAGCCTCTTAGTGCTAGCGCCCTTCGTATGCCTCGGACGGGCTGATACAGGAGCCAATGAATGCACTCTTGCTACGTTCAATGGTCTAAAAGGCCTAGGGCCTCCTAAGGGCCTAAAAAAGTATCCTCTGCCAAAAATCGCGGGCCCGGCGCGCATCGATATAACAAAGGGTATCTCAGTTCAGATGACTCAATCCGACCCCAAGTACCAAGGCTGTACCTGGAAGTTTTTCAACTCTGGCTATATTCAACAGCAAGTGTGGTATTCAGTGTCAAACAATAACTGGGATTCTATTTGGGTGTATGCAGACTCAGACTCCAGGTCTAAAGATGCGGGTCCTGGTTGCGAAATGCACGATAACTACTGTGATAGTGACAACGAAGGAATTTACGTTGGAAACGCCCTATAGCTTAATAAAACCTAGTTAACTGTTATGACCCAAACATAATGGTTGAAAAACGTAGCCTGGCACTGATAACAGAAAATGGCACACACTCGCCACTGACTTCACCACCCCTACCCCTTGTTTCCTCCCTCTTTCCTATCCCCATGACCATTCACTTATCTTCACAGTTACTCTACAAAATGCGCCCAGCTCGTTATGATACGCCAAAGAAATCTAAGTTTTAAGGGACTTGCGAGATGCTCGCAAAAATCAACTCAAGTTTCCCAAAGTAACACATCTTCAATCAAGTTAGGGTTAGTCGCCGCAGGGGCTATACAATGTGAAGGGATAATAGCTGCCGCCTCTATAATATACCTTATAGTAATGAAACCCATAATCGGAAGTACCTGCTTAGTAATAAGGATATCTACAGAATAGAATAGCTACTATGGGATAAAGGCCGGGATGCCTACACTCTTTTATGGGCTAGTTTCCCTGCTGCTGCTAGCCTAGATGGGTAGTATTACTGTCGAACAGTTTAGAGAGCGAAGGGGAATATTGACTGTCGCAAGCATATTGCTTGCCACAAGAGCTAGGCTTATCCTACAACAGCCCAAGTGTTACGGTCAGCTAGTGACAGTAGGGTTTCTGCTAACAGAAGTTGAGGCTACGATACTAACAATAGGTCTTGCGTCGTATACAGGTATGTCGTACTGGTAGATCGAGGGTTAGGGTAAGGTGATCAGTCTTACACTAGGTAACGAGGTATAGTAATATCACAAACTGTGAGCTAAGCTGAAAGTCATCGAGGATGAATTACAAGTTGATTGCTGAAGAACTATCTAGAGGGCTTGAGCAGGTGCTCAAGTCCTGGTCTATATACAAGTCCCGTTTCCCAAGGCCGACGTCCGCGTCGTCGCTTGCCGATATCTCAATTGTCGGCAGCCGACATGCCAAGAGTCGTATCTCTTATTCCTTTCTTATCATCACGTGACTTGAACATAGTTCTTCCTTTTCCGGCGGGGCGACCCTTGTCCCTTCCGTCGCCTGCATATATCTGGAAAAAAAACATCAACAACAGCGAGAACGAAATTTTTGAAAATCGGAGCAAAAACGGCCCCAAATACGCGTGCTCGCGGCCACAGAGCCCCCTTCGATGCAATGCCATCCTCGGCCTTGATTCTACGTCCCAAAGGGGCCCAAGATGGCCGCAGAGCACGCCCCGACTACAATGAAAAACTTGAGAGCAAGCCGCAAAATACGACATATCAATAGACAACACTGTTACCACCACCACAGGCGAGCCACAAGCCGCTACACGAAGCACTAAGACTGCGCCCAAACAATCAACTTCAACACAACAGCCGCCGACAGGTTTTGGGTCACCTGTCACCCCCGACAAAGTTTGCAACGTCCCACAACGACGAAGATGAGTCCGACAGAACAGTATCACCTTCCGCACGGAGAAAGCACCAGGCATTAGGCATGCTACGATCGATGCCACACAATACTACAGACCACAGACAGACTGGTCCCCTGTCGCCCCTTTTGCGAAGAAGGATTGGTGTCCCTTCAACGCGCGACAATGTCTGCGGAATCTGTGCAGGAGCTCTCAAACCCAGTAATCGAACATGTCGGAGTCAGTGGAGCATTGTGCTTCGTGGAAGACCCTTGGGCCAATGTGGTGGAGGGCAATAGTGGTCAACAGGCAAGAAACAAGAGGCCACATAGGAACCCGGCAGGAGGCAACAAAGAATTTACAGATGCAACTGAGAAAACGGCACATACAAGTCCGGGAGGATACGGACAAAACAAAGAGACAAAGCTGAGCGCTGGGGGGAGACTGTAGGTACAAAGAACCAGATACGGTGCTACCAGCACCAACTGAACCGAAGCAGGAGGACGCAAAACAAGCATTCTAGAGAGCAACACAAAAGCGAGAAAGCAGACAGGAGAGCAACACACTTCTTCAACAGAGGGCACAAACACACAGAATAGAGAACATAGTGGGGAGCTTGGGGATAGCTGGCCCTGATGCAACATCAGGGCGAAGTGGGGCGTCGCTGTTCATTGTCGACGCTTCGGCTACCTGCCAAACCCCGCTTTCCGGGCATAGCTGCTGGCATAAGAGCGGCTTCATAACCGAGTAGGAATAAATCAATCAATCAATCAAGCCTGCATATATCTTGTCTCTAGCCGCTGTCGGAAAACATCAACAACAGCGAGAACGAAATTTTTGAAAACAGCATCAAATTGATCAAACCACGCCCGCTCGCGCTCTCAGAGGTCACTTTGGGCATAATGTCATCCTCGGCATTGATTCTGCTCCCAAAGAGCCTGCTCGTGGCCGCGGGCGGGCTCTGACCACGAAAAATTCGAGAGCAAGCCACAAAGTATGACACGTCAATAGACAACACCATCGACACCACCGCGGTTGAGTCACGGGCTATCACGTGAGCACAACGACCAAGCCCAAACAAACATCAACACCACAGCCACCGATAGGTTATTGGTCGCCTATCACCCCCGACAAAGTTTGCAACGTCCCGCGACAACAACGACGACAAGCCCGACAGAACGGTATCACCTCCTGCATAGAGAAAGCACCAGACACCAGGCATGCTACGATCGATGCCACAAAATACTACAGTTTGCAGACAGATTGGTCCCCTGTCGCCCCCTCCGCGAAGAAGGATTGTCGCCCCTTCAACGTATGACAATGTCTGCGGAATCTGTGTACGAGCTCTCATACTTAGTAATCGGACGAATCGAAGCGGTTGGAGCATTGTGTTTTGCGGATTGAGTCCGACTCCAGGCGGTGGATGGAGGTGGTGGTCGAAAGATGGAAACATAGAGCCACATAGGAACCCAGCATGAGGCAACAAAAAGATTTACAGATTCAACTGAGATATAGCACATGCGAGTCTGAGAGGATGCGGACAAGATAAAGAGACGAAGCTGAGGGCTGGGGGGAGACTATAGGTATACAGAACCAGACATGGTGCCTAGCACCAACAGAACCGAAGTAGGAGGACGCGAAAGAAGGATTCTAGAAGGCAACACCAAGCGAGAGAGCAGGCAGGAGGACAACAATCTTCAACAGAGGGCATAAACACACAAGAATAGATAGCATAGTGGGAGCTTGGGGACAGCTGGTCCTGATCCAACAACAGGGCGAAGTGGGGCGTCGCGGTTTATCGTCGATGCTTCGGCTGTCTGCCAAACCCCGCTTTCCGGGCATAGCTGCTAGCATAAGAGCGGCTTCATAACCGTGTAGGAATCAATCAATCAATCAATCAATCTAGCCGCTGTCCTCGAGTGGGGCTAGTTTCTCTGTTAGGCATACTTAACGGGTCGTAACACCAAGACCATGTCCAGAAAGCGAGAGAGCTGCTTGCACAATATCCTACAACAGATCATAGAGGCGAGTCCAATTTTCTAATCAATGTCACTTTAGACTTGGCCTAGAGGGAAGAAATCGTCCTATCCGAGAACCCGGCGAGAGATATTCTTCTAGTTATATCCAAAAGGAAAACGCTCCGCAAGACAAACACCGAACAAACACCGAAAAATATTATATACTGAGGGGGCTGTCAGGTATGGGATCAAAAGCCCTCTCATCTTATATGATGCTGGTAATAGGAATAGCAAGTGTCCGATGAGTGAGAAAGAAAGTCAACTACAGAGTAAGTACTAACCTTTGAAAGGCCTTCCAATAGAAGAATTGACGGTGTGTGGTTTTATTGTCTTTTTATGTCAACTCTGGATTTGTTGAATGGCAGAAAACCTGGAAATCATTAAATATATCCAGTATTGTGTTTGTTATGATTCTCATTTTGATAGCCGGCTCCCTAATTTCAAGCTTTCTTTTACCTCATGACCTCCTAGTATTGCTGGTACTGTCTCCTTGTTTCTCATACTTCAGCACTTATCCTTTGTATCCATGATCTAAGAGCTGTGAGACGATGTGACAGCTTGCAGTCACATTTATCTACTAGGAAAATCCACTAGTTAAAAACGCAATGTCACGTAGGCGTCAAATCAATTCAGATTGTTCATTATTGCCTCTTATTTACAACTTATAATTGGATGAACGCATCGGCGGCGTAGAGAGCGGAAGAGAAACGGAGACTTTCTAAACCCAACTTACCACAGAATAAAGGAGACTCATCACAAGCTCCAAAATTTCGACTTTGATGAACTTTGAAGTAATACCGGTGGGCTTGCGGGATTGATCTCGGCATGATCACAGATCCACATTGCTACACAAGACACAAGACCTTAGACATGACTTGAAACATGTGAATAATATCCAAGACTTCTGGAAAAACAACAAACTACCCGAGATCGATAGATTCAAGGACACGTCTTACACCAGCCGTGTGGCATTCCCATTATCATTCTGAATGACGACACAATCAACGGAGAATTTTAAACCCCCTTTCCAATTGAAACCCAGACACCCGGGCTCAGTCACTGTTTAATAAGTGTGACGAACTAGGCACATAGCAATCAGGCTAGAAAAGGTGTAAAAGAGTGACTTGATTTTAGAAAGAGGGTATGAGTCGTGAGGAAGCGCGTACTTATCCCATCGACCGCGGCTTGACTCCATTTTCGCCAAGTCCTCAAGTTTCCACTTTTAGAGCCATTTTTACTCCGCATTACACTAGATACATAGAAAACATAACATTTGCCTCTAAATGACAGGTTCCATGAGAAGTGGCGAGTACTTCTGGTGCACTAGATTTTTACTAGAAGCATTCTGTACTGAAATATTAAGTACATAAGTTAACGAATCTGGCAGCCATTTATGCCTTGATTGGCTTTACCCCTCCCTTGGCGAAAATGGGGTCATGCCGCGGTCGATGGGATACGCCTACGGTGTGCGTTTCATATGGCTTACGTAAAACACACCTAGCTCGGTGTGTTCGGTGAGCGTTGACACTATCGTCACAATAAGGGATGTATCTGTCTAGGCCGTTCGCAACCTCGCTTCGTGGTAACTTCCCTTCTCGGAAGTCCATCTCTTGGAAATCGGTTAACACAGTCCGTCCTGCTATCATATGGCAACGCCTCCGGCTTCTCCCTTCACCTACACCCCACCTCTTCGTAGTCGTTGTCCACACCACTCTGCATGTTCAAAGCATACCGAGGAACTGGCAGCGATGTTTCAAATGGTCAAGATAGCCAGAGAGGATCACCATACATGCATAGAAAATATCCAACATGTAAACCAGCAGATTTCAACCATTATCTGAAGTCACGTAAACAAAGGCCTCCTCAAATGCCATGACTCCCAACTCATAACCCCTTTGCCAAACCCTCAAAACTTTTTACCTTTCGCCACAAGGGGCCACCATCCACGTGTGTAACGCCCAAAGCCACAAAAAGCGACCGTAACATCCCCTAGTCCGCCACCAAAAGATGACACTCTAGCCTCCCGTGGCCTCCAACAAATTCGAAACAAGAGGATTAATATATACATTTTCAATTGGGGATTAGGAATGACAGAACAGTCTTGCATATGGTAAGGATATCTGAGGGCCCCATCTTGATCCGATTAACCGTACATTGGTCTTTATCTTAATTCAAAGCTTTTCCGTGATGGGACTAATGTCGGTGGAGACATTGGCGGGATACTCGTCCGAGGGGCCACAGGGTTATAAATAGGATTGTTGCAAGGCGTACACTATAAGACGATACGATCAATTGCCAGCCCATGTATCCGTGTAAAGAATTATTTTCAGAGCATTTTACAACATTCAGAAGGGCCAAGATCTATGAATGCAGCAACGCAAGTTGCTCAAGTGTTCGCGACACGAGATAGACCGAAAGAGCCCTTGTTCTCCTTGGCGAAGATGTCATGCTTGAGATGCTCTACATTTCCGTAGGCTTTTCGGAAATGTTCAATTGTCGTTGCCGCTCAGCTGCCAGCTCCTCATTCATTTTCCCAGCCACCAAATGAGGAACAGGATGAAATATCCAATCCTGATGCCACTCAACCCCAATAACCCCCACTGCTTGGCTCTCTTCCCCAATTACCTTATTCTCCCTCTGCATCCTCACCACCCTTCCCCCAGCCACTCGGACCAGATCGGCGCCCTGAATCCTGCATCGGTCCCATTGGTGCAACTCTGCCATGGAAACCCATCGGTGTCGGGTTAATGAAAGCGAGACCTGCGACCATACTACCCCGGTCAATCTCCAGCCCTTCACTCCCACATCATGTTCGTGAGATAGGCGCTCCATTCCCCAGATTTCCCCCGCACCAACGGACCGAGTGTGGAACGGCACCACTTGCGGGGATAAGTACGGAAATCGAGGATAAACCTCGTTGCCTTCGGAACTTTCTCCTGTTTGCTCACCATATCTCTTTGCGACACGCTGACTACTTGCAGCTGGTCACAGTCCGTTGGAAAAGCTTAACTCGGTTCGCATATCTCACAGATCTCATTGCACCCCTTGAGGCAAGCTACCAGCACTCTTCTTAGTAGGGCAACATGGGTGGCCTTCGCGCGGTCGAGGATCGGCCCACGCCGAAAGAGGTGTACAACTGGCGCCTCTACATTGAGTCGTCCATCATCGCCATGGGATCATTGCTGTACGTAGCCTATGGTATCATAGCTTTTCTTTGCCTGTAGTGGAACCTTGCTTAGAAAGAACCACTAACACAACGGTAACGCAGCTTCGGTTACGACTCGGCCTTCATCGGAACGACAATCTCACGCGCCAGTTTCGTGAGAGACTTCGGCATAACCTCAGCTACATCTAAGGAGATATCCTCCAACATCACTTCGGCCTTCCAGGCCGGCGCTCTTGGCGGCGCGCTTATGTGCTTCTTCAGTATAATCATCATCCTGATCATATGGTCTCCGAACCTAGAGCTAATTTGTCTTTGACAGTCACCGAGCGTGTCGGACGCAAATGGGCCTTAATTATCAGCAACCTTGTCTTCATCGCCGGGGCGGTGCCTATGGTCGCTGCCACCAACGACCTAGCTTCCATGTACGCCGGTAGAGCCCTGACTGGCTGGGGATGTGGCGTTATCACTGCGACTGTGCCCTCCTATATTGCTGAACTATCCATTCCCTCGATCCGTGGTATCTTGACCGGTTTGTTCGAAGTTACATACCAAACAGGCTCTCTTGTCGGCTTCTGGATCAACTACGGCATCAACCAAAACATGAACCCCAGAAGCTCGGCGTCTTGGAGGCTACCAATGGCTGTTCAGCTCATTCCTGCAGCTGCCTTGCTTGTTGGCGGCTTTTTTCTGCATGAGTCGCCTCTCTGGCTTTACCGCAAGGGTCGCGAAGAAGAGGGAACCAAGGTACTTGTCGCGTTGAGGCATTTACCAGCTGATCATCAGTATATGCAAGAAGAGGTGGGAATGATTCGCGCTAGGCTTGCCGAAGAGGCTGAACTGTCAAAAGCCTACGGTAGCGGTTTCTACGCCTACATCCGTGGCGCACTGTTTGAGTTGTCGCGTAAGGGAATGTGGAATCGTCTGCTTTTGGTCTTTATTTCATTCTCCCTGCAGAACATGTCGGGTGCTGCTGGTAAGTTCTGAGTTTCACCATACCGGCCTTTGACTTCTTTGGGATCTATCGCTAAACAGCCTCTTCTCATAGCTATTAACTATTATTCCCCTATGCTCTTCGGATCCATTGGAATCACAGATGTAGCTTTGTACACTGGCATCTATGGCTTAGTCAAGGCGGTTGCGTCCATTATATTCTACGGTGCTCTCATTGATATTTGGGGCCGCCGTAGACCAACCATCATCTCTTCACTGGCTTGCTCACTGTGTCTTTGGTTTGTGGGCGCATATGTAAAGGTGCGGCGTCTCACTATTCATAAACCTCAGGCCAAAGGAATCGCTAAATCGTATTAGGTCGGTAACCCAGCGCCAATTATCGCCGCTGGCAAGGAGCTCTCCTCGTCAACCGAGGCTGGTGGGCGAGCCGCCACAGCAGCCATCATGATATACTCCGTTTTGTAAGCCGTGTTCATCAATGACGCCTCCAACCTCAAGAGAGCTTCAGCTAATAATGAACGTAACAGTTGGTCTTTTGGCCTTAACGGAATCCCGTAAGTAAAATACTGGCGACACGTTAGCAGCATAATGGCGATGCTTATTGTTCATAGGTGGATTGTCTCGGCGGAAATCTTCCCTGGTGCTCTTCGCAACCTCACAGGAACATTCGCCGCATTCACCCAATGGCTGATTCAATTCATTATCACCAAGGCGTTGCCATACATCTTCGCCAGCCTCGACTTCGGCGTGTGGTTCTTCTTCGCCTGCTGGATGCTCACAGCCACTGTCTGGGCCTACTTCTTCTTGCCTGAGACCAAGGGTGTCACGTTGGACCAAATGGATGTACTCTTGTATGTTCTTCTTAAGAGCCCCTTTCTCACACTCGCATTTACTGACTTCGACGTCCCAGCGGCTACGAGGGCGATCGCCAAACACATGGCCAGACACTCAAAGCAGATGATTCCAAAAGCGTCGACCACGATGTTCACGAAGTTGATGAAGCTGGTAAAGTATAGAATTGCACTAGCCAGACTGTCTTCTCCCCTTCGCATGTCAAGGAATGAAGAATTAGGATGCGCTCGATGCCAAGCGAGAAAACAGATATCAACAGCCTCAGAAATGAGCCTAAGCTTCATAGAAAATGTTTGACCAATAAATCAATGATTGAAAACTGGGCTTAAATTTTTTCGCGTTTTTCAAATATGTAAACGCCCGGAGCTAGACACCAAAGGTCTCACATGTATGTGCCTTATTCTTTGATTCTATGACAGCGCTTAACGTCAGGTAAGTACCCATGGCAGCAAATAATCGAAGCTTACCATGTTGTCAGAAAGTCCCTTGAAAACGTGATGTATGTCGTGAATAAGGATCTAGTACTTGTTTACGAAACCTTATGGTGGCTATGGAATTGAGCTTTGAGTACCATAGGAGCTTTTGTACGTGAACATTCAGTTTCGAACAGCGATGTAGACTGGCGTGTTATTCTGCAGGATGCAAAGTATATAGAGCTAGCGACCGCCTACTATTTCCAAACTAGCCGGAGTTTGGCTTGGCGGTGCGCAGATGCTCACGTGTGACTAATGCATGTTCTGACCGTCAGCTGAATATGAGGGGAGACGCAACCCGCTGCAGCTGTGGAAACTTTATCATTCACAAAAGACCAGCAGACGTCATGTCCTCTAGGCGCTCCGCCCTACTTCGTTTTACGGACGCATTACGCCATCCGAGGCAGATACTTTTGCGAAGATCCAACGGGTGTAGTGTATGTGAGTTTACCGGCGATGAGAATGCAAACATTACGAGCAAGCATAGCCTCGAGACATGGACCGAGGCAGCAAAGAATTGTTGCTTTTGCGAGCTAGTTGTTGCGGTACTCAATGAAGTGAGAAGAAGACATGGTATCGATATTTCAGGTGGTGGCCAGAGCCAGATTTATCTTTGTGGGGGAAACCCAAACAACGTCGGTGGGAGGTATTACCTAGTCAGAGACTACTTTCACCATTCGACAGCTCATGAAGACCTGTCAACCCAAATACTGTTTTATAATCATTTTGGTAAGTTTTCCTAACTGCGATACTGTAGCGCCAAAGCGCTGAGTAAAACAATAGGTTCCGAATCGCCGTGGGAGGGTCTTCCTTACGATGAGGACATATCGAAAACGGCTGGGTCGAAGGAATGCCTTGTCCTGTTGAAATACTGGATGGAGATGTGTGAAGCCTCTCACGAAAGCTGTTCATCTGAGAAGGCAGCTCTTCTTCCTACTCGAGTGCTCGATGTCAGTTCTTCACAGCCAAGACTGATCATTGCTGAAACCCTATCGCGGAGAACTGGCAGATTTATCGCCTTGAGCCACTGCTGGGGCACTTCTCAGCCACTGAGAACACTGAAAGACAACATTGGGTTGCATCATGAGGGTATTGATCTTGGCACGCTCCCGCAAACTTTCCAAGACGCCGTTGCGGTAACGCGGCATCTAGGGATACAGTACATATGGATCGACTCTCTCTGCATTGTTCAAGATGATGCTCTTGATTGGGAACGTGAAGCAGCCAGAATGGGCGATATTTACGGATCAGCACATCTCGTTTTGGGCGCGTCCTCAGCAGCAGGCGGTGCCGAGGGGTTTCTGGGTCGCCGAGCCCACCACTGGGAAAGCAAAGTGACGGTTCCCTCGCCAGACGGATCCCGAGGCAAATGCGAGATCCACTGTCGGCCACTTCTTGACCATCCAATGCCGAATGCAAGAGCTCCCAGCAGCCGGGGACCTCTAGAGACCCGAGGCTGGACATTCCAAGAGAGGGTCCTGGCAAAGCGTTTCGTGTCGTTTGGTAAGTACGAGCTCAGCTGGGGCTGCAACTCACTCTGGGATTGTGAGTGCGGCTGGGTTCGTACCAGGCGGGGAACCCCTGGCGAGGACTTTGAACTGATGCTCAAGAATTCCATAAGCCTCTACCCCAAGATCAACGAAATGCCTGAGGCGGATCTGTATCACGAATGGCGGTTTGCCGTTGCATCACCCTACTCCTTTCGCAACCTTACCTTTTCCAAAGATAAGCTAGTTGCCCTGTCAGCTATCAGTCGTATCTTCTACGAAAAGCTCAACGACAATTTCCTCGCAGGGCTTTGGGAGAAGCAACTTCCTCGGGACCTGTCCTGGTATTGTCACCGAGAGTGGGAAGAGCTTGACTTGAACAAGGACTTTTCCGTGCCGTCGTGGAGCTGGGCTTCGGTCAAAGGAGGCGTATCCTGGAGCATGGCCACGAAAGGTTTTCGATTCGAAAAGACTTGCCGCGTCATCGAAGCAAGCTGCACGCCGACCTCGGCTATTAACCCATTTGGCTCCGTCGCCGGCGGCCATGTGACTCTCCATGGTAAGTTTACGCCAGCTACAGCAGAGTATCATGGCTACGGATCGAAACTGTGGAAAGACCAAACTAGGCATTACCTCCTGGATAAATGGCCGACAAGTAACTTCTACTCTGATGTCTTCTTGGGAACGGCTGCGGTCAAGATGAACGGCGAGTTCATCAACACTGCTGTGCGTTTACTATCTGCAAATCGTAATGACAATCGAGAGGAAACAAAGTACCCTGTGTGGTGTTTCATGCTGGGAACATATAGATCCGGGCAGACACAAAATGCCGCTGTTATCATTCTCGGACAATCCGTGTCTCAACCAGGAAAGTTTGAGAGGGTTGGATTTGCGGAACTGGAATTTGGATACAAGCCGGCTGAAGAATTCTTTCAAGGTTGGACTGACGAGACTGTAACTATCGTGTAAATTGATACGAGGAACCTATGGATCATATTGCGCTGGGTATTTACCGTTGCTCATCACCAAATCACAAATCACGATGATTTCGGAAATATTGTTGTTTGAAATATTCTTTCTTCATTCTATCTTCCTAATTGTAGTATAAAACCGTGGGAAATTAACGCTCGCTAAATAATCGACAGAAAAAGCACTATTAAGTTTGTGTCTGGACACTTTATGTCTAAAACTGGTCTGTAATCATCCCGAGTCGCAACTTATTGAGTAGCACGACCCTTTCCCTTGGACTCCTTCTTGGGCTTGGATGAGCCGGAGTTCCACTTCTTGACGCGTACGAGGTAGTAGGACATGACGGCGACGAAGATGTTGAAAATGATGAACGCCCACATGATTCCGAAGTTGCGCCAGCGCTCATCATAGAAGATGTTGCTGCCGGCGAGGTATTGGTCCGCGTTGCTCAGGGAGCAGTACCTGCACTGCTCGGTGGCATCAGGGTTTTGCAGCTGTCCAGGGGCCATCTTGAGGTAGTCGCTGAGGTACTCGCCACAAGTCTGATTGGCGGGGGGGTTAAAGATGGAGGTCTCGTCGGCAGAGCAAGTGACGGGTCGGCCGTGCAGCTGAGTGCCAACGATGCCGGCCACCCAGTACGTGAATGGAGAAACGCGGTACATGAAGATCCAGAAGCCGGGGAGGGCGGTCGGCGACTGCAGGACACCGCAGAAGGTCAAGCTCATGAGAACAAGCATGGTGACGACGCCTGAAGCGGTGAGAGCGTCGGGGAAAGCGGCAATGGTCATGTGAGCAAAAGAGCTGGCGTAAATGAGGAGCTGGATGGCGAAGAGGAGAACCAGACCTTGTCTGGCGGTGCTCTGGATGCCGATGACAGGGTAGTAGAAGCACACGAAGATGAGGATACCGGTGACGATCTGGTAAGGGATCTCGACGATGATGTTGGCGAACATGAAAGCCTTCCAGGAGTAGGCCTTGCTGGGGCGCTCGCGAACCTCGTACAGAGAACGCTGGGTAATGAAGTGAGGCTGGATCTGTTGAACAATGGTGGAGAAGATGGTGATGACCATGAAGACGGCGAAGACAACGTTTTGCATTCCAGCCATCGTACCATTGGCCTTGTAAAAGGAGAAACCGACAAAGAGACCTGCGGCGATACCGAGGATGAACTTGGCGAAGACGTAGTTGGGCATGCGCCAGTACTGCTGGAAGACACGAGTGGTAACCTCGACCAATTGAGTAGAGAAGGGCATGGCGAATTCGGAGTGAGAGCCTTCATCTTCGCTGCCAGAGACCATTTCGTTGGCCTTCTCAAGATGAATTCTCTCGATCTCGGCGTCAACACCGTGGCGTTCATTGCTGCCCCTCCAAACACTGTGCCAATCTTCGCCGTCAGAGTTGGTTCCGTTATTGACGATCTCGAGCATGTACTCGGCAGGGTTCTCATCATCATCGCATCTTCTGGCGCCATGGGACTCGAAGTAGTTCAGAAGGGTTTGAGAGTTGTCACCAATGTCGCCGAAGTAGACGGTCTTACCGCCACGAGCGAGGAACAGAAGGCGATCGAACTGCTGAAAGAGGATGGCGCTAGGCTGGTGGACGGTGCAGAGGACAGCTTGGCCGGAGTCGGCGAGCTTGCGCAGGAAGGCGCAAATAGCCCACGAACTCTGGGAGTCGAGACCACTGGTTGGCTCGTCGAGGAAGAGAAGAAGCTTGGGCTTGGCGGCGAGTTCAACACCAATGGTCAAGAGCTTGCGCTGCTCGACGTTGAGACCCTCACCGGGCACACCGACAACAGCGTCGGCGAAGTCGCGCATGTTGAGCATGTCAATGACCTCTTCGACGAAGGCGTACTTTTCTTCCTTGCTAACAGTCTTTGGCTGGCGGAGCATAGCGCTGAATCGCAAGCTCTCACGAACAGTTGATGTCTCCAAGTGGAGATCTGAGAGTTGTTAGTCAAAACCGTACCAAACTTTGAATTGATTGAGTTTACTTACCCTGCTGCTGGACGTAGCCAGTCTTGCGCTGAAAGCTTGCATCAAGGGGCTTGCCGTTGACAAACATGTCGCCGGTAATGACGCCCATGGTGGTTCTTTGAGCGAGAACATCAAGGAGAGTCGTCTTTCCAGCGCCACTGACACCCATCAGAGCTGTGAGAGTACCAGGCTTGACCCAACCGGAGACGTTGTCCAACAAGCGGCGAGGCTCACCCTTGATCTCGATGTCATAGACAACATCCCTCCAGGTGAAGATGTCCTTCTGGGGCGGGATGGAGCTGACGTTGGGTTCAGGGCCATCGTTCTTGCTCTTAACAGGGACTGCCATGTCCTCGTTGGAAGCGCTGCGGTTGACACCATCTTGAAGGTGGGCGGGAACATGGCCGCGCTGGAAGACAAGGACCTCGGCGGTGCTGGTGGTGGCAGAGTTGAGCTCGGTCGCGACAAAGTAGAGGATCATGAAGAAGAACAGGAAAGCCAAAAGAATTCCAAAGTTTCTCCAGACATGAGAGTAGTAGTACTGGTAGTTGGTTCCGATGAAGGCATCGCCGCTAACAGTGCGCTGGCCGGCGACCGCGCCAACTGCAGAGCAGATCCAGGAGTCACCGTTCAGAGGGGTGTAGGAGGGAATGATGTCTGAGCAGGTAAACTCTCGGCCGTGGAACTCGTTGGCGATGAGGATCTCGAAGGCATAGAAGATGGGATTAATCCATCGGATCCAGCCAAACCAGTCAACCATCTGGGGAACGCGAACGACGAAACCAGTGTAGATAACGAGAGCCAATACCAAGACACCTGCCAACATCATAGCCTGTGACACAGTCTTGGTGATGGCGGCCATGGTTCTGAAAACGGCGCTCATGACAAAGGTGGAGATGTAGGTGATCAAGAAGTACAAGAAGAACTGGCCGGGTTCGCGTCGAAGTCCTGCGAGGAAATAGAGCACGAGATTGAAGGTCGTCGCTGTGATAAACTTGATGGGAATATCAGCGACAATTCCAGCGATGGCTTCGGCAGCGGGGTGATAGAAGGCGTAAGATGCATGCTTTTCGACGATGGGCCGTTGATCGTACAGACTGTTGATTTCGGAAATGGCAGTGAGGGCGTTCATGAGAATAGCCTGGAAGAGAACGGATCCTTTTGCGTAGAATCCGGCAGTTGCGTCTGGCGTACCGTAGAAAACTGAACCAATGATGAGAGCCAACATAAGATTGATAACAGCTGAAGTAGCTGTAGCAGACATGTCGTTCCATATCCTCTGGTAAGCTCTCTTCGTAGTCAACTTGACCTGCATGGCCATGCTAATGATGTATGGCGACTTGGGACGGACATGCTTGGCCTGTCGCTCGTTCTTCATCTGACGCAGCTCGGTAAGCGCCTGGCTGTTAGAGCCCATGGGGAAGGCCTCCTGGTGCTGCTCAATCTCCTGGCGGAGAGCAGCGTACTCGGGGGACTGGCGCCAGTACGCCTCGAACTCTTCAGGGGTGCGAGGAACCTGGTTCTCCATGCCAGGGCGAGCCCGGCGTTCTTGAGGGTTGGTGACCGAGGTGAGGAAGTCACCAGTGGTCTGGCGCTGAGGGCAGTCCCAGCCCATGCGTTCAAAGTAAGACTTTGCCGCAGCGGCGGGACCGAAGTAGATCTGGCGGCCCTCGTACAGGACAACAGCCTTGTCGAAAAGGTCGTAGATAGCCTGACTGGCCTGGTAGATGGCGACGGCGTTGGCGCTGCCAGTGAAGTCGGAAGCAAGGCGCAGAGCCTGAACAAACTTCAAGGCAGTAGCTGAATCCAGACCGCGGGTGCTGTTGTCCCATGCGCACATGGGAGAACCAGCAAGCATCATCTCAGCGATGCTCACACGCTTGCGCTCGCCACCAGAAACACCGCGGACGAAGTCATTGCCGACCTTGGTGTTGTAGGTATGGCTCAGACCGCAAACAGCCATGACGATCTGGGCTGCTTGCTTGTGGTGCTCATCGCGGGTCATACCCTGAATTCTCCTTGAAGGAGTACGGACTGCGGCGGCGAACTCAAGGGTTTGCCCAACCGTGAGATGGGGAAAGTGCTTGTCAACCTGGAAAGTAAATGTTAGTCTTGTGTGAGTAGAGAAGAAGGTGGAAAGTGTGCTAACCTCTTGGTTGTAAACTGTCTCTCCCTTGAACTCCTTCATCATCCGCTTCTGGGGAATACCGTTGTAGTGGATAACGGAGTCATGGCCCAAGCTCAGACCGTGAAGCTCACCGGTCATGGTCTTGAGGAGAGTGCTGCAACCGGATCCAGGTCTGCCAAGGACGATCAAAAGCTCTCCGCTGTTGAGAATTCCATCAAAGCTGTGGAGGATCCTCTTAGGCTCCTTCTTGCCGAAGCTAAGATGCTCGCCAATTCTCAGGGGGGCCTGGAGAAATGAGCCCACAGTCTGCTGAAGCTGCAGGGCGGCACCGGTTCCAGAAACATTCAAGTCCTTGTAGGCGACACCGGCGTTCTTGAGGTTGATGCCCTCATTTTGCATCTGTTGCATCATGTTCTGGAGCCATTTCGAGAGGTCAAAGGACTTGCTCGTCGGGTCTAGGGCTGGGTCATTCTCGGTCGTGAGGTTCTGGCCGTAGGCAACGTCGGCCGATCCAGGCTGGCCGAAGCTCAGTGCACTCTGGCGTCTTTGTGAGAGTGTTGTTGCGATTCTCTGAAGTTCTCTCCTGTCCTCCTCGTCGATCATCATCGTGTCTCGGTGGGTATCTCTCGTAGGGCTGGCAAGGGTGGCATTGTCATCGGATGAATCGCCATTCTTCCCCGTGTTGATGGGGGCAAAGTTGGCCTCCCACTGCTCTGATGTTGATGGCCTTCCGTTCATTGTGACTGATGAGCCTGCCGACCCACGGCTGTCTCTTATTTCGGGTCGGTGTGACATGGTTGGGTATTAGGGGCTGGCCAGCGGCTCAGCTTAGATGGGATTGATATTAGATGTATATGATATTCAGATGAAGTTTAAAAGTCCTTGTTGTTGAAATGTGTTGAAATGTTAGAGTCCAAAGGTGGTAAGACTTGATAACTGTTGGTGAGATGTAAGGAAACAGTTGGGATGGCAAGAGGTTCAAGATGAGTATATTATACCAACTAGAAAACAGATAAGAAGCGTCCATATGCGGACATGAAATCGATACCGACGCAAGACCGCAAATCCGCAAACCCACCCGTTTGGGTTTTCAGGGCCAGTTGGCGTGCGGCCGAGCCAACTAGGCGGAGTTCGTAGACCGTCCGCCGGCCGGCCGGTGGCGATGAGGTCATTCCCTGTACCCCTAACCGAAATTTCTCATCCCGAAACTAGAGATGGGTGTGTAGTCCCATCTCTCTGGCACGGTCTGTAGGGTGGCCGTTCCCGAGTTCCCAGCAGCATGGATTACAGTCCGGGCGGGTTCTTGTTAACCACTGCAAAGTCCGCACCCCGTTTTCGGGTCCTTCGTGGTCTCCGAAAACAGCTTACGGTAAGCAGCGCATGAGCCACAGGGCGGCCCTAAAGCTGCAGAACCCTCTGGACTAAGCCATTTATGGTGTAAAGACACGCTAAAAATCGGCCGAAGTTTTCTGACAGTTTCCCGATTGCATCATAGTGGCCACTCGTATTGTCCATTTCCCCTACGGTTGGCTGCTAATCCCCCTTTTCCCGTCCGCCATGCCGTATATCTCTGCACAGCTCGTAGATCTGGGGTTACATTACTGTTGGGTCCTCGGGAGATTCGCACTTGAGCCAGGGCTGCGGCTGCCAATAGCGGACCGAAATGAAGCTGACGAATGTTGATTCGATTTCCAATTGCGGATTTTGACTGGAGTTCTGTCGGACTTTGGGGAGATAATGAGCGTAGATATGTAAACAACCCAAGTTTGAGAAACCCTCAGAACTTTCCATCCAACTGTTCTATGCTCTGCCCTCCCCCCATCTGGGTGCCGTCTCTCACTGAGATCCACTAAACCAAGCTGACAAAATCTACACGCATACTCGTTGTCGATGACAGCAGTCCATACATACCTTAGCCATAGCACGATGCATAATGATTCAAGATCAGCTCCATATTTCTGAGATTCATTCCTGACGGAACTAAGGATTAGCGGAAACTATTATTTAGTATCATCGAATGTTTCCGCGTGTGTGGTGTTTGAGACATTCATAATTCTAGATCTATCCCCCCTTTGTCTGACTCCCAGTTCCCTCCCACACCTTCTGGGCCACACCTTCGGGCTCCCGGAGGCTTGCGACCGGCTGAAATATTTAGACCGCTGAGTCATATTCTACAGTACGTGCACACATCATTTCAACTGCCCCCGCCAACGGACCCTCCCACCCCCGTTATGGCCGAGCCATCTACTGGGGCGTTCCCGGGGCGCACCAACCTTCCGTAGGGCGGGGTTCCAGAACATCCCCCCCATGGCCATAATGTTGGCGTCTTAATGATAACCCCTTGAGAATTTTTGTCAGCATCTCGACAGGACAGCCCCTTGGCAGGGTCGCCACCCATAACGCGAAGCTTCTACTGCGTACTTGAAACTTTGCCTTTTCATCCCAAACTCGTGGAAAATCCCTGGAAACAGAACATGTGTGTGGGTAGATCTGACGGGGAAAATGAGGGTGTCCTCTGTCCCGTTGCTCCGGTTCCCCAAGTCCAAACTGAGCTGTCCTCACTCCTTTTTAACACCCACTTTGCCAATCTTTCTCAATCCCCAGACCGTTACGAACAGAGTTGCGCCATACAGCGCTGTACAGTACCAGAACGATGCCCGATAACCTTCCAGCAGCGCCGCCGGGCTGTCCTTGTCTGTCAACTTGGATTTGGCCGTCACCGCACTCGCAATCGCCCCGGACGAGGCCAGACCTACACTCTTGCCAATCTGGGCAATTGTGTTGTACACACCACCAGCGACACCTTGTGTTCGGGACGGGAACAATGAAGTGATCAGCAGGTTAGAGATGGTGAAGAGGGTGTCGGCGCCAATAGCGTTCATGAACATGGCCCAGAAAATGCAAAACCAATAGTTCCACGCGGGGTCCGCGATTCCCATTAGCAACGGGGAGAGCGCCGCGAGGGCGACGGCAATGAGGATGGCCACGTCGGCCCGAACACGGTGCACAACGAGACCGGCTACAACGCTCGCTAGGACCCCTCCAACCGGCGCCGGGAGGAAGCGGACTGAGGTGTCTATGGCCGAGAGCCTCTGGACATACTGAAGGTAAAACGAACTAAGTTGCTCGGTCGCATTGAAGGCACCCCAGACCATGAAGACGCTGATGCAGATGCTGGTGAAGCTGCGGTTCTTCCACAGTGAGTTGGGGATGATTGCCGGCCGGCCTAGACGTTCTTGTCTGCCCACCCATGTGATGAAGCTACCAATGAGCACTCCTGAAATCGCCAAGAGGGCAATGTTCTCCGGCTTCTTAATGTCCTGCGTGCTGTCGGTAATGGCACTGAGAAAAAGATGTGTCAGTTCTCATCTTTTTTGAGTTTGCTAGTAGGAACACTGTTGCACTCACGCAAGAATATAAGACACCATGGCGAGGAACGCACTCGCCAGAAACGCCCCAATCCAGTCCACCTCCGTCAAGAAGCGGTTCCAAGTAACTGGCTCACGCTTGCCGAGGCTAGGTAGCCACTTTAGAGCAATCAGGAAGATGACAGTGTTGATGATGGCAGCAATATGGAAACCCCATCTCCAACCAATAGTGTCCGTGAAGACACCGCCAACACTAAGGCCGACAGAGAATCCAATAGGCTGACCGCCACCCATGGAGGCAAAGCCGATGTTTCTTCGCTTGCCCGGGGCAAAGGCATGTGTGATAATGCTAACGGCAGACGGCAGACACATTGAAATAGCGACACCTGCAAAGGCACGGAACATGATCAACTGAATACCGGTTCTCGCAAGACCGCAGGCAAGTGTGAAAGCTGATTGAAAGAAGCAACCCAGGAGATAAAGTTTTCGGGCTCCGAAGAGATCAGCCATCGCTCCTGAAAGCAGGAGAGTGCAACCACAAGTCAGGGCATATACTGAGGCAGGCCTTGACAACACACGTTAGGTATAAATTGATTCACGCTGGAGAAGCCATTGTGGAAAGCCCATACCAAAGTAGCAAGCTGCTTTCAAGATTGACATCTTTCGCCATGGCGGGGATACAGACGGTCACGATGCCAGCCAAAAGGGAGCTGATGCCGGTGATGCACGTCACCGAGGTGATTACCACCAATGTCTTTCCCTTGGAGATGTCATCATGTTGGACATCCTCAGCTGAAAAGGAGTTCTGGTTCGAACTCGGAGTGTTCGAGGGCGATGCCGAAAGTTGCGGCAAGGGCGTCGCCGGAGCAGTCACCAACTCCACCGTAGTTGTAGACATGGTGAACACACGCTTGGTTCACAAACTCACTTTCAAAAAGACAGTGGGTTAGGCAGGCTATGGTCAACTCGGTGGACCGCTCAGTAGACTTCAGGCTCCAGTGAACGAACATCACGAGAGAGCGGCCGCCCCGCGAAGGGGCGGGAGCATGAAAGAAGTAGCTGAAGTGAGCAAAATTTTGACCGACGTGCCCGAGATCGGCCGAACGTGGAGCCCCGAAGAGCCCCATATTGAATTGTGTAAAAATGACACCATTTAGTGCCAAAGGAAGCGAAATGACTAATAATTTTCAAATAGTTTCCTCAATTCATAAGGGTGTACTAACCTTTTGAAGAAGGTTTACTGACTAAAGCTCCATTTCTTTGAACTTGTGATGCTCTTCTCGTTGGTTGTTACAGTTGGGAACATGACTCAACCCGGTGTTGGAACTGCCAATGAACTTGGTTGGTAAGCACTCCGTTGTAGAATGCCTTTAAACTCGAGTAGTAGTGCCAAGAAAAAACAAAAGGTCAATTTGATTGCTTCAACATGTAGTTTCCGTTTCGATGCCATGGAAATGAACCCTTGAACTGAGGAAGTGCAAGTTGTAAGTTACTCTGCTCAATGAAATTGTGTTTTAAATTCTCACTTAACGCCAATTTTAAGTCTTCTTTTGAACACTCGACGTCTGTTTTTCTCGTAAAATGATATCAGGGCTTTAACCCAAAACTTAAATCTCCCCTGCTATATAATACTAATAAAAAAAAGTAAAGAAAAAAGCTCCAATATTGTATTTATTCGCGATGCTTTAATATGCCCTACGTAGTGGTGAAGCGAGAATGATCTATTCATTTCGATGAACACCCTGATGTCCCATACTAAAAGCTGTAAATCTTGGCTCTACTTAGCCTACTCATAGTTGGTAAGAGTGAGAGCCGAAACAGGGCATCATTCTCATCCAATTGGGTGACTTGAAACACCAAACTTCCGATGGTTAGGCAACGCTAGGTAGAATTAAGTGGCCGTGGGGTCCTGGCAGGTGGTGTTTTTTTTTTTTTTTTTTCATCTGATTTACCTTATTTGAATTAAACTATTCTAACATTGAAAGACTAAAATGTAATCTATATAGTGTTACGACGAATTTAGTTTCATCACAACCCGTTTTGCAGTGAGAAGACGAAATGAGATCCAGCGAGAAAGTCTGGCAACCGGTCATTCAAAGTGAACAAAATTTGACAGCCAATTGTAAGACGGCAGTCAAAATAGCGGGCGTGGTTGATGCATTTATGGACTGCAAAGACTCGTCAAACTCATATTGAATACCATTTCTTGGTAAGAACCGTCAAAAATACGCCATGAGTGTGTACTTCCATCAATTGTGATCTTCATTTCGATTGAACCATCGGTAGAGCTACAAAAAGGATGCAGAGTTCCTAGTTACTCGCGAGGGTCAGGTCGGAATCAACCCCAGCCAGACAGAATTGATTTGGTTATCTATGCATATGGAGCCCAACTTGAAAGTTCCTTGTGTTTTTAAGCGCAGGGCTTTCTGTCGTTTGCCGCAAACCACCATTTTGATCTTGGCCGACCGTTGCCTGGGCCTCGACATCAGAAGTCCGCCGCATTTCTTGTACGACTTGGCGTTGCAATTTCGTATTTTCATCCCTGAGCTTCTGGGCGTCGGATTTGAGCTTAACAATCTCATCCCGCAGGGTCTTTTCCTTCGCTCGATAGGCAATTCCCATTACTCTGATTTTCTGATTCGCCCGAAAGGCGTTATCGTTGGCGAAAAGCTTTCTTGGCGCGTTCATATTGGTGACGTCGTTGGGGAAAAGTGAGGTTGTGTCTTTCACACCGTAATATTGATGTCGGACGTCCACAGACATATCGAAGGCCATAAATTTTGCAATTATAAGCGGTTGAAGAAGTACGTGTATAGAAATCAGTTCTGGCATGTCTAAGTGAAACAAAAACGGAAAAGAGACAGCCGTCCTTGGTCGGATAAATAGCATAGACATGCATTTACATTGAGAAACGTTTTGCTGTACGATGCTGAAACTGAGGACACGTGAGTGGCTTTTGCGATACAATAAGAACTTGTTGTGAGTCTTTGTTTAAACTATAAAAAGGACGATATGTTGAAAACGGATGAATCTATCCTGAATCGGCTGTCCGTTGGAACAAGCCCATCAATGTGCACAGAATGATAACACTGGTGGTAAAACAGCTCAGCTCCAAGGAGCATGGAGTCCTAGATAGTCTGTTTTTCCTTCGGAAAGTTGCTTGAGGATACAAAAGACCGGACGGCTTGGACCGGTGTGCATGGCATTCATAGCTAGGCCAATTACAATGTCGGTAGCATCTGGACTAGCCTAGATGCGATGAGACCTGGACTGTGTCTCAAATGCCGAGAAACACATCCAACGCTATTAATTTCAGCCGCACTATAATGAAACAGCAGGAACTTGCATCTGAAAACAACTATGGGTGCATAAGGATTCACGCTAAATTAGAAATAGCGTCTCGTAGATGTCTACTCCTTGGTTGTGGGATGTTGTTCCTGACCAGCCATAATAACAAATTACATCACATAATACGACATTAGAATGCATTAAGTGATTAAGTGAACCGTAGTAGACATTGTCTTGTGACCCTGGTTCACAAGTCCATGTTGAGATCTTTTCGGGATTATGCGACAAGTACATGGATAACAGCCTTCCGATTCGAAGTTCTCGAACGTGAGACCTGTTTTTTTCGGAATGATTCGGCACATATACATTAGACTCAGCTATTTCCCAGACTTAACATAGTACTTAGGACTAATCTACTTTACGACACAGAATTTTCGAGGGTACGTGCAGTATTAGGCGTTAAGTGTGAATTTAACTTACTACTTGGTCGCCTACTTAGTGCAAGCTCTTAGATATTGCCGACGTCCTACAACTAAAGGATTACAAGATAGGAGACGATATCCTCCCAGGGTCTGGCCATATCACTATAGCCGTCGAGGTACCTTACCAGAAGACTTGAACCACGGCTCCTGAGGAACATGAGAAGATTATGGTACCAAGGATCTCTCGTCGCTTGTTCAAACTGGTGCGGAATTCTTACGGTCGTGAACCTTATCGATCATACCAATCATAATCACCATCTTCATCCGGCGAGATGCCTCAGATGCTCCTGGTGATTGTACGTTTAACACCCTCCCCTATCGTAGCAGATGAGAGGCCATGTGAAAAGCAGTCATTTAATTGTCGAACTGTTACTCAACTTAATTAAGTAGGTTGAAACTGGGCACAGTACTGGGCATGCAGCGCGAGTAACCTGGTCATTACCGTATGACGGGTTTTTCTACAACCGAGATTGTTATGTGGTTCTCCAGAAACTCTATTCTGTTTTACTTTGCATCCAATTGAATCCATGTTTATTAACCAGAACCTAAATTTTTTTTCCATTCACATAAAAACGGCGCTCAATTCGTTCGGCCCCAGACCTCTCCATAGAGGCGCCTAGACGTTTGTTGTATGTAGTGAGTTACTCCTTCGGACCTGTGAAGGGGAGTGCACGACGTATCGGATCTCTGGCTCTGTGTGGTGGTGTATGGTTTTTGCCTACATACCTACCAGCCTTTCTATTGCTCGTTCCATCGATATTTTATTTTTTAGTTTAAGACTAATCCCCTTACCCTAACCCTTAGGTCTACTAGCCTACTGTTTTAGTGAAATAACCCTATCGAGTTATTAGTCTTCTTCTATTAGCAGAACCTACTGTTACTAGCTAACCGTAATATTAGTTGTAATATTTCCGGAGGCTCTAACTATTCGCGAAACTTTAATTAACCTCTGTTTCCGTTTACTAGTCTACAAAGCGTAGGAGAACAATTAACTGAAACAAAATACATTATTAGCTGTTGATAGAGTGAAGATATAACAGGCTGTTGGAGAGGGTACAGCTCTATATGAGCGATGTGTTACGACCCGTTGGACATGGTCGCTAACACGACCCCGCCTGGATCCCGGCGGCTAACGCAGGGCATATGTAACCCAGCCGACAGGTGTAACCAGGGATCCTCGGAACGGAAGAACTATGGACAAGTCACGTGGCCTCGGGGATAACGCGGGGTAGGGACAACCCGGGCTGGATATGTTGGATATGTCAGATATCCAACCGATCCCCGGATATGTTGGATATGTCAAATATCCAACATAGCCAAGATAAGGAGGACCGTTCAGGACTTGTATATAGGATGGACTCGAGCCGGGCTCGAGGACAGACTTCCATAGCTCTTCAGCAATCAACTTTGTGATTACCCTAACCGGTACTTTCAGCTATACCTAAGTGACGACTACTCTACGACTCTTGTTGAGGCCTTGACTGATCACCAAGACCTTTGAAGATCTACGATTCAATCGACTAGACCCTAGAACGACTGTTACTGTTGTCAATCCCTGGCTTACTGTTAACACAAACCTACTGTCAGTTAGCTAGCCGTAACACTTTGATTGCTCCTGTTCAGTAAGTCACCTTTTGAGAACTACTAAACAGTATAGACAAGATGTCTTCTCGCGCTTCTGCTAAATCACCTACTCCAGGATCCTTATCCTCTTCGCGCAACCAGCCTCAGAGCCTCGCGCAGGAGCCTGCCAACACTAAGGACTTCGACATGCCGGACCTTAAGTACGACTCCGATGGAGATGGCTCTTTTACTAAGGAAAGCTACGATAAGCTCCGACGCATAATCTAGAAATAAGAAGCCGAGACAAAAGACATGCAGAAAATCGTCAACGAAAACCGATAAGCAATAGAAAACCTTAACGAGCAACTCCAGCACGCTGGACAGGCCTACAAGAAGCTGGAAGAAGACATCAAGGGGGACGCCAACCTCCGGAAGATCTAGGAACTCCAGGGGGAAATCACCACCCTCCGGGCCGCCGCCAACATCGTCACCACGCCCGTCCACGGAGGACGACAAAAGCTCAAGCTCAGTGCGCCTGTCACCTACGACGGAACCCCCGGGACCC